AAATAAATCCAACGATAACACCTGGTTATAGTCAATATCAATTAATAGCTGATATGCTTCCATCATATATTCCTCTTCAATTAGCTGAAAAAATTTTATTTATTGGTGAATCATGGCTTCTATTGAAAACAAATGATGAAGATAATGATAAAAATTTTTTATCAATAAATCCAATTGATTATGATGAACAAAATAATCGTGTACAACAACAATTATATGTTTTAACACTTTCAGATGATTTAAATATGTTTGAATTAGAACGTATTATTGAACATGCAAGAATTGATTTATCATTAACATTAAGAAATTTATTTGTTGATCGTTTTCATTTATGTGATGAACTTGAACAAATTCGTGGATTTTATTTAATTGAACGTGGAGAACTTTATTCATTATTTGTTAATCGTACAAATCAATTATTATTAAATACAAAAAAATCTACAAATGCTATTGAAAATGATATTAATGAAGTTTTTAAACAATGTTTAAATGATTTACATTTAGAATCAATATTAACAAATGCTGATAAATTTAAATTTAAACTTAATTTTACACTTAATGATAATTCTACACAAGTAAGAATTTTATTTTCAATTATTTAGATTGGTGTTTAAAAACATAAGATTAGAATAAAGTTTTCTATTAGATTTATCAGGTTTTAAAATAAACAGTTCTATGAAGTGCTTATGATATTGAACTGATATTTTAGGTGCATGAGTGTGATAATAAATCCCGATTACAAGCATCAACCTATCCTCCATTGACTCACATGTAGTATTCCACATGGATACCACCGGCTTTGAACCGGAGCTAACCGATATCTTGTTGAGATCTCATTAGTTGCCAGTTACTCGACCCCCGGTGGCAGAGCACTACTTACATGTACTGGAATTATGATTTAAACATAATCTTCTCAGAATCAATTTATCTTAATCATGTTATGACGAATATTTTTATCGATTTAGTCCAAATTTTCGTTAAAAATCATTTTAAAATAACTGACATATTATCTTGTCATTCGGAATATCTGTTGAAGAGCAAATGTTGGTTTTTACTAAGATCGATCTTTTCCAATGAAACGATGTATCTCTTCTGAAGTCACACAACTGGTTCTATCATATAGGTTTACTATCTTAGAGCATAGCAGGTACTAAAAGTAATAGCTCGTGGCATAACAACATGATAAACAAAAATTTGTTGGATGCATATTTCTGATGAATATGTTTTTCACAAGGGAAAGAAGATATGTGAATCATAACTTCTGTGCATGTGAACTGATAGAGGTGGGTTGGTGCTTGTGAGCAGGGTTTATTATCGCACACCCGCATCCGAAATGTCAGCTCAATATAATAAAGAATCAGAGTACTTCCTGGGTAGCAGGTATTTTTGCCCAGGACTTTATGAACCTGTACTTGAAATCTATTCTTGCAAAAAAACGGGTATATAACTTAATCGCAATACTATGTCAAAAGAAATACCTCAGTTTTCTGCTGTTATCATAATCAATACTCAATTCTTTTGCAAGCAGATTATTTGCTTAATTTCTGTTAATATGATGTACTATAAAATATGATACTATTAATTACTCTATAGGATTTCAAAATTTACCTACTAACATTCTATCAATTTTGAGATTCTGTTTTCTTTTAATAAATCGTTCTTAGATGTATCCATCTACATAAGCCTCAGTGTTGTATTCCGGTGTTCATTTTCGGAAAAAACAGCTGACAATGGCGAAGAGCTAAACGCTAGAGCCAGTCGGATAGGGTCAAGTCTGAGACAGATTCGAAGTATTCATTTTAAAAGCAAAAGTCAATTATAACTTTATTCTTACAATATTATCTGAGAAAAAAGTATCTTGCGCCTTCGGAGTGACTGCTAGGCTTAGATTAAAAAATTTCATGGGGACTATTAAGCGTACAGCTCAAATCTGAGTCTAGAAAAACTTTTATGAACTGGATTCGATGAGCTCTGCTGAACGCATATTTTTTCTAATGAAATCATCTAGTTCTAGAGACGCTTCATCTGGATGCTGCATACAACATTGATAAAGATTCTTAACCTCAAAGAAAATATTCAAGCTAAAAATCAAACTTTTCCTTATTTAAAAACTATCCTTTTAAAGTCTTAATTGCATCTATATCATTATGGCTGAATCAGAGCTGCCAACAGGCCAGTACGAATGGCAGGCCAGGCTAAGAATAAGGTGTTTGGCCTGTGGCCTGACCTGGCCTGTAGGCTTTTGAGAGACCAGAACAAGTTTATCAAATACTTTGATACTTTCATGGGTAAAATTGCATAATATGCATCAGACTTTTTTTTATTATCGCACCCTCGTCGTGGTCACATATTTCTCCTCAATTAAGATGATGAAATTGCGAACTTTTCCAAGAAATAGAAAATCAAAAGATATACTGCTGA